TCTGTCATACTTCTATTTGCTCTGCTGGTTACCCTGCTGGTATGTAACAAGATTTTAACTCTGCTGTGCTGGTGCTACTGGTTTCTTTGCTACTGGTTTGCTTGCTAATGCTCTGCTGGCTAAAACAATCTGTTGGCTACTGGACTGCTGGATAAAACAGATTCTGATCTGTATGGGTGGTGCCCTGCTGGTTTATGCAGACTGGTTGGTTCTCTGCCTGGTAGTGTCTAGCAGATGAAGTTTACCAACACTGCAGCATTGGTTTGGTTTTTGGTCTGTCTCTATCGTTGGTTTCTCACCAACTTTGGGGTGCTTGCATATGATAGGTTGGGTTATTTGATGCCAACCTAGTTGGGATCATTTAACCCATCGTGATGCTCCTGCACTCCTCTTTTCTTTATTGGTGTAATTTCTTTCGTACCTTGTACTAGTCTTTACATCAATGAAGCTTCTTTTTGCTGATAAAAAAAAAAAGAATAATCATTGTTTATATCTTTGCAATCATTTTGAATTATGTTAGGGATTATAAATAAATTATCAATTTTTTTACTAAATCTTTCACATTAGTGTGGAACTCATACAAATCACATGTGTGTAGGTCCCACACCCATGTGAGAGGTTCAGTAGAAAATTTGATAATTTGTTTGAGATCTATAATATTTTTCTAATTTTTTTCTTGTTTTACGCTTTGATCATTGTGTTCTGACTTTAAGAAGGTTTTATTATTATTATTATTATTATTATTATTATTATTATTATTTACATGGAAACTCCTAAATTATTGAGAAGTGTTATTTTAATCTTCTAAATTATAAAAACATAAAAATTAATTCCTTAAATTATTGAGAAGTACCACTTTATCTCTTAAATTATAAAAGTGTTGAAATAGACTTCCTAGACTATTTACATATTTCATTTTGAGCCATAGAGGGTCTAACTTATACACTTTTATAGTTCAGGGGTCTATTTATACGTTTTTATAGTTTAAGAGGTAAAATAATACAATAGTTTAGGTAATCTTCATATAAATAAACTTTTTAAAAAAAATATCCTAAAAAAATCAAATTATTTATCCAAGTAACTCAATTTTAAATTATTTACCAAATTAATTGACTTTTTAAAACAAGTTCAAAATATGATTTATAAAATCACAAATTCAAAATACGGTTTCATATTGACATGACCCATTGTTGTGATACACGTTTATGTAATCATATCTTCAGGATACAATTTTCATGCTGAAATCATATTTTGAACCTACGATTTTAAAAAGTCAATTATTTTGATAAATAATTTGAAAATTAGTTATTTTCATAAATAATTTAATTTTTGAAATATTCCCCCAAAAAAAATAAAAATAAAAAATAAAACCTCAACCTTTAAGGGCTGTGAACATATAATTGGTCTTATGTTTTACAATAATAATTAAATAAAAATAAAACCAACCAGAGAAAAAAAAAAAAAAAAAAAAAAAAGTGATGGACTCATTTGACATGGTGACAATTTATTTATTATCATTATTTTTTGGGGGGGGGAGGGGAATTGCATCCCAGTGTAATTTCAGAAAAATAATTACACATATATGACAAATTTTATGATTTTAATTTTTAATTTTTATAATCTTATCACTATTTTGTAATTATTTTTTGAATATGTCACTAATTTGATATGTTTTTTCTTAATAGACATTCTGTATTTTATAATATGTATGAATGGAAATCATGTTGAATTGCCAGTTGAGGGTCAAGTTAGATCGAGTGGCTTCCATCTGTCATTTCTTCGAATTTATGTGGATTGAAAATAATCAATCCTTATCCGTTCGCTTAACGGATGAGGATTGAGCAAGTTGTGCATAATGGTGGGTGTATGCAGATTAATTTGACGATTTGAACTGTTACTATTTTGTAAATATTTTAGATTATTTTTTTACTATTTGAATCCAAATTTTTTTATTCTTTATTTTTTATAATTAAAATAAAGGTCAAACTTTTATACTTCATAAGTAAATAACATTATCATTAAATAAAATATCTTTTTTTAACATACAAAGCATAAAAAACATAAGCGCCTTTGGTGGCCATTTGATAGAAGTTCGACGATTGTAAAATGTAGCAACGTTTTTAATTTGTGTTTTTTTTAAATTTTTTTTGATAACAATTAAAAATATGTAAAATTAATTAATACAAGTATTTTGTTTTGGGACTATATAAATTTTAAATTTTGTGTATGAAACTTACTAAAAATGCCCAAAGATCAGGGAAGAAAAAGAACCCACCAAAAAACGAAAAGTGCGACGCGGTGACTCGGACCAGCGTCGTTCGTCATTTGGAAATGTAAGAACGAAAAGTGTGAAAAACCACCCAGACTTTCAAGGAAATAAATGAGTTCTTGGTGCAAGGAGAGAGAGGGATAGAGAGCAAAGCAAACCACACTAAAGCAAAAACAATTGACAAGAGGGAAGCATATAATGGCCAAGGTTGTGGGGCCATTTTTTTTCATAAACGTAGCTTTTTGTGATGTACTACTTTCAACAACTTGTCAAGGGTGTCACCATGTTGGATTCTCTTTTATGTGGGAACCAAAAAACAATGCAGGAGGTGCACAAAATGTTATTCTCTTTTTTGTTTGTGAGAACCAGAAAACATTTTAAGCCATGATAATAAACTGGACAACTTGCCTAATGAAAAAATAATAAACCTATTTTTCATATTTTATAATCAACTTCAGTGTGTTCAAATAAATAAAATTAAAAAATGTAAACACAATACAAAATCAAAATCAATTATGAACCGAGACAACCATTTATACACCAAATATACAACAAACAAAAAATATAAAAGTTTCATATTTGTTTACACATGAAATAAAAACTGATTTTCCAAATGTAAAATAACAAAATTTGTTTATCACATACAGGGTACGCACAACATTATTGAAAAATAATTTTTACGCAACAATAATTTAGATCACAAAAAAATACACCACTAATAGCACTAATGCATTGGGAATGGCCAAAAAAAAAGGAAAAAAAAATAAAACAAGGCATAGAAAATAGGCGAGACCCACTGCCACATCATTAGTACTCCCCGTAATGCTCTCTTTTTAGTGCTCCTAAACATTTTTGATTTTTACACGTACACATTCCCATGAACACAACAATGTTCACGTGGCTGCTACAGTAATGTGAGAGGTACATCCGAGATAGCAACCTAATGAAAAAGCTATGGTCTACAATTGTTGGACCTGTCCAATTCTCACAAATAGACACTATTGAGGCAAGTTCAAAAAATTCTTTAGGGTACATTAAAATCTTTGGGTACAATTGCAGCACCTGCAAATGTAAAATTTATTTTTAAGTCATGTACATCTTCACAAAAAATTATCATCAAATGTATGTATATTTTTATGTTTGGGTATGTATACAATTTCACTTTTACCCATTAAAAACTATTCACTCTGTTTGTTTTCTATTTTTATATAATTCACTTTTTAAACAGTTTACTTTTTTAGCATTCTATATTTTTTTTTTTTTTTTTTTACTTTTTTAATGCATTAGTGCTATTAGTGGTGATATTTTTAGTGGGATGAATCATTGTTGTTTATATAATTCACTTTTTAAACAGTTTACTTTTTTAGCATTCTATATTTTTTGGTTTTCCTTGAATTTTTTAAGTCATGTAAACTTTTTTTTAATTTTTTAAACACACCTAATATAAATACACTTTAAAAATAGAATATTTGTGCATTTTTTATTAGTGTTCATTTTTATTGTTTTTGTGTATTTATTAATTTTTAAATTTTTTTTTTTACAAATATCTTAATATTTAGATACATCTAATTAAGACGCATCTAAAAAAGTTAAAAAATAATGCTTAAAATTTTAAAATTATTCACTAAACAAAAAATTACAAAAAATAAAAAACTTTTCTATAAAATTGAATTTAGAAAATTAAGATCAAATGACTGATGACGTAGCATTTTTTTTTTTTCATTCTTAAAACAATTTTATCTGATTAGACTTGAAGTTGTTATTTTTTATTCAAATGAAAAACAGGATAGGTAGTATTGTTTTTCAAACCAAAACAGAAACAGAGGGGGAGAAAAGTATTCAAATGAATGGAGGTTGGAGGATCCTGTAATGTTCCTTCTGTTCACAACAATGTTAGCCAACATCTGCATCTCTGATTTGCCTCTGTTGGAGTGTGGTGGATGGTGCAATTGCATCTCTGTAATTGCATCTCAATTACATCTCTGATTTTCCAGTTCAAACCATAACTGTAAACCCAACTCATGCATACACCATAGATATACAACACACATAAAAAATGGGTCATCACAATTCAATAAGAATTTTGACAGCATCCCTTCAAACCCAGGAATCTAAACACATTTATAAATAAGGTGCCTGTTGCATAAAAAGTAATACAACATCCAACACATCACACACCGATTCCATAATAAAATAATCCTACAGCCACTGTCCAATCTGTTTGTAAGGGAAGGAAAAGAAAATACACACAGTTACGGGTTGTTGGCAGGGGAAAAAATAAATGTAAAACAAACATAGAAGGTAGCAACATGGTAGAAAACAACAGCAGATCCGTAATGGAACATGAACCCTTTCCGGTGACTAAAGCCGTCAGAACCACCCAGTCATTCCGGGGCCGTGAATTGGTGCTGATGGGCCACCCATATTCGCGGACTTCTTCATTCGTAGCCAAGTAATGACTACAGCGTCCGTCGGAATCTACAACAATATTGCTTGATTTGCTCGATTGTCCATTAGCGTCAAATCGTAAGGGATTAGTGGGTCTTGCGGGTCCAAGCCTTGTAAGGAGTACAACCTTGCCATACACTTGTGAATGCAGTTCGAGGCCGAATCTGCATACTCATGATGCATGCGGACGTCTCATTGTTGTAATTTAACTGAAGACGCAAGATTTTCCATGCTACTCGCCAAGAGCGATGCTCCCTCACTCTGCCCTTTTTTCCGCTGTGGGGGTGTTGTGCGACTGAATTTGCGTTTGCTCCCGCCACTCGTAGGTGTGTCATCACCGTGAATTGCTGATGACGCAGCATGTACAGCGATTGGGGTATCCTCCTCTTGCGCAGGACTGTGGTGGACAGTGTGTGCATGCTGCGCGGATGGCTGGAAAGGGGGCAAACCACTGCTGTCTTCGCAGTCTTCTTCGTCTACCAGCAAAGGATTGTCCTCCGTGGCGACAGGTTCGAACGTTGCCCTTGGTGTCCATGCAAATTTCCCGATTGCCGTTGCACCATCGTACACCCTTCGCATTAGGTCCATATGCTCCAACAGTTTCGTTTTGAACTTCAGTGCATTCTTGTCAATCTGGGTAAAACCAAAACACGTAAACATAACTTAAAACAAGGAATGAGGAAAAACACAATAGCAGCCATGATGCAGGTTTATGTTATAGGTTTAGCTATAAGTTGTTACCAGATTGCATGAATTCTTGTAGTGCTGTGACCTGATTGCATTGCCGCATTATGTTCATGGTTTTAGTATACTGTCCCTCTAATCTCTTTAATATTTATAAGTTGTCCCTCTAATCTCTTTAACATTTATAAGTTGTTACCACATTCCACCAAACTTGAAACAATATTTGCACAACCAAGATAGTACTACTAATGCATTCTAACTCTAATAAGAAACAGCAGGAGCTAAACAAACAACATATATCCATAAAATATGAACAGAACTTGCATTACCTATAATTCCTTCAGAAAAGCAAATGAAGTTGATTGAGACCACAAAATCCATGGCAATAAGAAAGTGCAGTTTTAGCAGAACATAAAAACTTTTCAGAGGGAAAAAAAGGATTACCACAATGAGTACTGATGCCACTAATAGAGCTATCCACTTTACATCTTGAAGAAATACAGCTGCCAATAAACCTCAACCAAACCCAACACCCAGTCTCCTCCATAGCATCATTTTTCTTCTTCCTACTCTTTGGTTTGCCCATATCCCAAGACTCTCCCTTTCCTAATCCCATATTTCACAAACCCTATAAGCAAACCCAGAAATCATCATCGGTCTCCAAATTCCCCCCCTCCTTCGTTTTTCCCCTCTACAACCCAACTCACAGAAAGCCCAAAAACATAATTTCCTGATAAGGCCTTCAATTTCAGAGCTATTTCAAAGCTCATTAGCTCATGCCTGATATATGATAAGAAAATAAAAGTCTGGCTTGTTTTATGACAGTCAGCGGGACAGGTTTTCATATTTTAACAGTCAGCGGGACAGGTTACTTTTATGACAGTCAGAAATTTTTATAACTCTCCCACAATACATAATCAATTTTTATATATAGTAAATTATTTAAGGAAAAATACTTTCTTCAACAAAATGACAATGGTGGAACCCACGTTTTCGTATGCAGGAAAGGAAAATAGTTTTCATTTTCGTATTTCTTTCATGTCCTATCAATTAAACGCAGCTAAGATTTGAATAGAAAAGAAGACATGTACACAATCTTGGAAAGCTAGAGGTGGCACCAATAATGAAAATACAAATTGAAAGTTAAGTTAAGATTGTTTCACCATGCTTAAGTACCAATGACTCCATTAGGTAGTGAAGTGAAGTCACTTGATGCAAGGGTCACTGCACTGCTCAGAATAATATATACCGGTATTCTTGATTCAACTCTGCCCTGTGGAAAAAATATAAGGGGAAATATACAAAAACACCAATCTAATCTGATGAGCCAAGTGAAAATCAGAACAAGAAGACCACATAAGCCAACCAGTGAACACATTTTCCCCTACAAAATGACGGGGTCAGCCTAGAATTTTTTTTTTTTTTAAATTGAGAACAAATAAAAAATGTGAAACTATATTGAAAGCATAGAAGCTAAGGGGAATCGTCAGAACTGTCAAGTAGTCATGTTAACATTATATGGGATTGAGGAAAGGTGATAAACTTATAATTGAACAAAGCTTAGTGAGTGAACTATTATTATGTTGTCTGTCTGTCTGTCTCTCTCTCCTTTTTTTTTTTTTTTTTTATTGACATTACGGACTGGCTTCTGATATATACAAACAAACAAGTTTGATTGTATAGTAAAGCCTGTATTTTATTTAGATCAGCTCAATAAGTTAATAGGTAACTGTCAACATAAAAAAAAAAAAAAAAAAAAAAGCTCAATATCATTATAATCTCTTTGAAGATCAGTTTGAGAGAGACAAAGCAAGCTGGATCACATTTCACAAAATAGTCATACATAGGGAGGGAGACAGAGAGACTAAGAGGCAACTTGGCAAGTACAACAACAGTTGTTGGGGTAAAAAATCTAACCAGGTTTACTTCTTGTTTTTGGTCACATAGAAATATTAATGAAGAATTTTTATAAATATATATTGTAACATATGCATGACTATCACGTTGGATGTTACAAAGAATAATATGAAATTGTTACCTTTTCATAATGGGCCCACCAGTCGTCGGATGCTTGTATCAAACTAGTTGCTTCATTGTAACTTATGCCGATTGGCCCATGCCTGCTGTCCATTAGCCGTGACCACGACTGCCAATCCTTTTTCAGTAACGCGTACTTGTTTTGCAGTTGCTTCACATCATGGACCTTATGTGTACGCTCGTCGAAGGCCTTGGCGACAGCCCTATATCCGTGCATTGTCATTGTATGGAAGCTGCCCTTGAAACCATTGTCTAACTCTTTGATGGCAAGTTGCAAGAACATGCGAACCGTGTCAGAGTCCCAATTTTCTTTGTGCACATTTCCGGACTACGGTTGAGACTGTTTACCACTACGCTTACGCAAATGTTTCGAAGGTGTCGACTGCGATTGTGAGTGTTCCATTTCGGTACTATAATGCAACAGTAATTGTGAATATGTCAAAAAGGAACATTGTGACAACATGAAAATGGTAAATAACAATATTTATTTAACAAATTGCCATCCATTTCCTTTTACTTAAAAACTGCCTATCGTCCTCTTAATGTCATACCCTCTCATACTGGAGCCAACTCCTCTCATACGCTAACGATGCCAGAAACAAGTAACCATTACTGACTCAAGAAATTTCCTTCAAATGTCAAATCTTCAACCTTAAACCTTCTACTGAATCACCAAATACACAGTGATGATGCCCCAATTTGCCCCAATTGTTTTGAAACACTAATCTCCATTTTGTTTTGTAGATGTGTACAACAAGCAAAAAACAAACAGACCTAAATGGTTGACACATATTTCTCAATTTAAAGACCCAACAAACTCAAGCTTTGTGAAATATCCAAACCGAAAATTGTGAACATTAGAAGCATATCATCACATAAGGAGGAGGGAAAAAAAAAAGAAAAAAATGTCATTAACAAAAAAAAATTTCTCAATGGTTATCTGAGAAAACAAAAGCTTTACAGAACCTGAAATACCCAATACCATTACACACCCAGAAGAAAAAATTTACAAATTTTTTGAAGGGCTGTGTGGGTAATCTTCACCGACCAAAAAGAGAGAGACCCAGAAGGGTAAAACATCGACCCACAAAGACAAAGGAACAATGGGGGTTAGGTTATGGGGCAGCCATTAAAGACAAAGGAAAGTGGAGGAACAGAGGAGAGAGGAGAGAGTGATGAAGAAGGTAAAGAAACAGCCGTATTGGAAAGTGGAAGTGTGAGAGTGGAGAGAGTATTAATTCGGCCGATTCGGGGGGCTCATTTTCGAGCTGCATAGCGGTTCTGAATGGGGCAATGTACAGAATTGGTTCAGGAAAAATCATTGATTTTCTTTGCACCTACCAAATCGTCGAAAATGAGGAAATGTACAGATTTGGTTCACATACCCAAAATCAGTGGCGTGGAAGAGATGTTACCTTGTTCTTTAGGGGATACGGGCTGAAGTAGTATAGATCTGGTCGGTGGTGGTGTAGATCTGGACGAGGGATGGTCTTTCCTGTCGGTTACAGTTTTCAGGTGATCGCGTCGAGGTCTGCCTTTGGTACGGCTGTGGCGGTGGTGCAAGGTGAAGGGTGTGATGGATCTCTGGCAGTGGGCGGTGTGTCTTTGACGGACTGGACTTGTTCAACCGACTGAGGGTTTTTGTCTTGCTTGCCGTTCTTGCAAATGGAGGTTGGAGAAGGAAAGGGGCTTCCTGATAGCGTATATTTTGTGATATATTCGACTCAGATACAGCATACAAAAAGGAAGGGTAGAAATGTAATTTTACCCTCTGCAGAGTCAGACAGGGTTTTGCCGCCCAATGCATAGAGATAAGGTAACTTTTTGACTTTTTTGATAACTTTTTGGCTTTTTATCTTTTTAACGGGATCCCAAGCCAAGCCTTAGTTTAGTGGTCTTATAATTACGCCTTAATATGTAATAAGGGAAAGGTTAGAGATTTGAGTTGATAACGCAACGGCGTAATCTACCTTTACTAATCAATTAATATCCTACAATTTTGACCAAAAAAAAAATAATTTCTAACAATGCAATAAATTATAATCAATGTAAATAAAAATAAAAAAAGAATTTATTATGTAACGACCCAATCTTGGCAAGGCAAAACCCTGCCAAGAGGGTGCACCTCAAACGCTATAGCACCTTTCAATTGCCTAACATATATGAGATGATCTATTGAAAGACAAAAAAATATTATCATGCTACAAGATAGTTCCCAAGCATTTCCTCCCAAAAAAAATATAATACATACTAATCACGAATCCATCAATACATCCAACTTCATAAGCAAATTTTACAATCAACCTCCTTCATAAAAAAAAAGGGAAAGCTTACATCCTAGAATGACCCTAAGCAAAACCTCAACCACAAGATGCCCACCTGTGATCCTTCAAAAAAAATTCTAGTCTTCCAAGTTGAGGCGAGCCACACAAAAGTCTATGAATCTGAAAAAAAATTATTTAAAAGAATGAGCTAAAGCCCAATGAGTATACCAATACCATGGAGTTATAAAACTTGCTCCTACCAATAGGGTTCAAAATAAAGATACTAAACATAAGAGCTTAATTGGACTTAAATTTATACAAAATAAAAATAAAAATGATGAAATACAATTTTCATAAAACGTTATCAAGATTTTTCCAAGGAATCTCATAAGGCAGAAAAAAATACATTTGGATAATGAAAGTAAACAAAAATATAACTTTTCAATACATTAAGATTTCCTGTCCATCATACAATCCACTACATAGCCTTAGGGTCGCGTTACCTCGCGACTTAGGTGGTGACGGTACCGTTACCCAGAACATAACCATAGGAGCATAGCTCATGTCATCGTAGCACTTCAATTCTTGTTTCAATGTTTCGGTCCCCAGGACCCCTTATACATACAACGACCCTTATGGTCCTTAAAACATTTCGGTCCCCAGGACCCCAAAGCATTTTGGCCCTTGTGGCCCCAAAGGCTATATTCGGTTATATGATCAATAAAATAAATATACCTTGTTCTTTGGGGGATACGGGCCGAAGTAGTGTAGATCTGGTCGGCGGTGGTGCAGATCTGGACGAGGGATGGTCCTTCCTGTCGGTTACAGTTTTCAAGTGATCGCGTCAAGGTCTGCCTTTGACACGGCTGTGGCGGTGGTGCAAGGTGAAGGGTGTGACGGATCTCCGGCAGTGGGCGGTGTGTCTTTGACGTACTAAACTTGTTCAACCGACTGAGGGTTTTTGTCTTGCTTGCCGTTCTTGCTAATGGAGGTTGGAGAAGGAAAGGGGCTTCCTGATAGCGTATATTTTTGGCTAATTTCGACTCAGATGCAGCATACAAAAAGGAAGGGCAGAAATGTAATTTTACCCTCTGCAGAGTCAGACAGGGTTTTGCCGCCCAATGCATAGAGATAAGGTAACTTTTTGACTTTTTTAATAAATTTTTTAACTTTTTATCTTTTTAAGGGGATCCCAAGCCAAGCCTTAGTTTAGCGGTCTTATAATTACGCCTTAATAAGTAATAAGGGAAAGGTTAGAGATTTGAGTTGATAACGCAACGGCATAATCTACCTTTACTAATCAATTAATATCCTACCATTTTGACCCCAAAAAAAAAAAATTTCTAACAATGCAATAAATTATAATCAATGTAAATAAAAATAAAAAAAGAATTTATTAAGATATCATTTTTCCTAATTAGTACAATTAGTCTATGCTAGCATTTTAATAAATCTTATTATTTAAATATTTGATCTACTAAATTTTAATTTTAATATTTAAAATATTTTTTGAACAATTTTATAAGCAGATGAAGAGGTATTTTTAAATAAATGCCCTCAAAAGAAATTCCCAAGTTTTTGCTCTATATATATACAAACAAATGAGCCTTTCAGATATAGACCCAGAAACCAACCCCCTTTCCCATATCATAAAAGCTTTTCTCCAATGACGACGAACAATGAGCCGTCTAGCGTAGAGTCCGCAATTGAAATCCTCTCACGTTCCGTAAGAGAAAAGATCAAAGCAATTCATCAGACAAACTATTCGGAGGATTCATCGCTTTCTCATCCGCTATCGTTCCCTTGTATTTACAAGGTCTCCAAAGAGCTTCGTAAACTAAACAAAAGGGCCTATAACCCTTGGGTAGTCTCTATCGGCCCAATTCACAACAACAATGACGATGACAAAGAGGAACAACATCTGAAAGAAATGGAGCACATCAAAGTGGCTTACACGGAAGAGCTACTTTGTCGAATTGCCGGGAAATCGGCTTCTCCGGAGGTTAAAGGATATTGGATGGACAAAGCACTGATGGAATGTTCAGCCGCCATGCTTCACTTAGCAGCCAGTGCCTTCAACTGCTATGCCGATAACCTGAAACCCATCATCGAGAAGAAGATTCCTCAGCATAGGCTAGCCGAGATGTTGCTGATCGACGGTTGCTTCATACTCGAGCTTCTCTACAGGTCCTCTCTTAAAAATTGTTAAAAATTAAAGAAAATAGCTTAAAAATCAGTCAGTCTATTTTGTTTGAGTTTTCTAGATTAAAATTTTTAAAAATTGAGTTTTTTTTGTTTACATATTCTTTTATTTTTAGTGAATATTTTTTAAATTTTAAATATTTTTTTTATTTTTTTAAATGTACCTTAGTTAGATGTATCTAAAAAGTAAAAAAATTGTGAAAAAATATTTTAAAAAATTAATAAATATATAAAAATACAAAAAATGTACTAAATTCTTGTATTTTTTTATATATTTTTGGCATTTAGTGAATTTTTAAAAGATTTTTTTTTAAATTTTTTTTACTTTTTAGATGTATTTATGTTAGGTGTGTCTGAAAAGTAAAAAAATTACTTAAAATATTAAAAAATTTCAATGAAAACAAAAAAAAAATGAAAAATAAAAAAGTAGAATTTTTTGAAAAGTGTTTTCTGAAAAATGAAAACAAGCAAGCTGATATAACTCCTATACTTTTAATAATATGAATAATTTTTATATCTGAATTATTCAATTTTGCATTAATTTTATTCCATTGTCAATTGTAGTTTACAATCAAATAAAATTACTAGGTATCACCCAAACTTTATTTGAAAATTTATTTTGTTCTCAAAATATCAATCAAATCAGTAAATAAAATGAAATTTAGAGGTTTAATTGATATTTTAGAAAGTAAAACAAAATTTCAGTGGGATAAAATTGATCTAAAATTAAATAATTTAAGTGTAAAAATGATATTATTAAAAAAATATAAGTTGAATTGATTTTTGAATTAGAATTTATGTGACAAAATGAAACTCCCTCTAAAAAATGTAATATTGTAGACCAAAATACGAAAATATATCAATAAATAAGTATGGCCCCAACCCAACCTCACGAGTGGAATTTCGAGTGCTAATTATTAAAAATTTAAGAGGTTAAATATTGTCAGAAAAAAAAAGAAGTAATAATGATACTTAAATAAGTAATAATGTTTGGATACATGTATTTTTAATAAAATATTTTATTACTTTTTTATGTCTGAGCTTTTAGTCCGAAAATTATTGAATTTTTAATAGAAGGTATAAGATCCACCTAAGTAAAACTTATTTCATGTGAGAGGGTTGGATTTGGTTGCTTAATTAGTTTATGTATTTATACACTTTTTTTTAACAGGTAAATTATTTGAGATTTGAAAAAATACACTAAGCTCTATAAATTTAACACAATCATATTGTGCTTAGTTAAAGTTTTAATTTAGATAGACATCATTTTCATTAGTAATTTGTTAGTTATAGTTGGATATAAAAATAATATGAAAAAATTATTTTAAAAAAAAGAAAAAAAACTCAAGGCATGTAAAGTTTTATTTGTTTTTAGTATAAACCATTAACCTATCATGTTAACTAAAATCGATCAAAAAAATAGTATTTTAATTATTAAACTCAACGTAAATGTATATAAAATGTGTAAAGTATTCTTTTTAAAAGATTTATTAGGAAATTCTTTTTTAAATAGTTGTAACTTAATTAGTCCATAATATATTCTTGTAATTCAATAAGTCATATTATTTATACATTTGATCCACTAAATTTTAATTTTCATATTTGAGATATTTTATGGATAATTTTATCTTTACAAATATGTTTTGAACGGTTAGTAACTTGGTGATGTGAGCATTCATATGTTACAAAATAAATATTCGCATTGATATGTGAATGTTCACATTGACAGTGCGAAAATTCACATTTCAATGTCAATATTATTATTAGAGATATTTTGGTAACTATGTCTTTAATAATTAAAATATCATTTATTTTTTCATCAATTTTACTTCACAAAAATAAGTTAATTGTTTATATTGAAAACAAATCAAAAAATTAAATTTTAAATTGATAAAATTAAGGACAAATTACATCATATTTTACCCATCGTGTCACTTTGATCCCTATGTTTTCATTTAGCTCAATTTTGACTCTTAATTTTAAATTATATGTCAATTTGGTCTAATTGATAATATCGTTAGTGTTTTTGATGAAAAATTATCACTAAATTGGTTAAAATTTACTCACTAAGTTGAGTAAGGCCTCGTTTGGGAACATGTTAATTTAGTAATTTTTTGGCTATTTGGCTAAAAAGGTAGGTAAAAAAAACTTGTATGTTCGGAATAACTTTTTGGCTAATTACGAAAAGATGTGCAAAAAGTAGAGAGAAAAGAGAATCTTTGACTTTTTGGTATGGGTTGTTGGCTTTTAGGCTAATTTAGTAACTTTTTACCTAATTGGCTAAAATAGCCTCATGCCAAACGAGGCCTAAGTTTATAATTTTGTCATTAAAAACATAATATATGCCACTTAAGTATGTATTTTTCATAAAAAAAATGTTAATAAATGTAATCAATTGGATCAAATTGAGAAAAAAAATCATAAATTTAAGGTCAAAATAGAGCCAACTAAAATTATAGGGACCAAAATGACATAAATATTAAAATACAGCGACTACCGTCATAATTTGTCCTAAAATTAAAAATTTAGATATTTTGTTAGAAATGTCAAATTTTGAAGTTTTTTATTTTTTATTTTTAATAATTTTCCCAATATAATTGTCATTCCTTTTATAAGGTAAATTGAACTATTGGTCTGTCTATTTTGGGTGAATTTCAAGTTGATGTTTATAGTTTTAATTTGAATAATTTAAACTGTACATTTTTAGTTTTTGTTATAATGTGATCTCTTCATCACTTATGATTGGAATTTTAAATCCAAAAAAATTATAAAATTAGAAGGACTAAAGTGAAATTTAAAAAAAAAAAAATTACAAAAACAGTTGATATAATTTATTTGTTACACCACAATTTATAATTTTTTCGGAATTCAATTTTGATTCATCTAGTGTTGCCTGGTATCTTTTTTCATTTGAAATATTAATGACATGTAGCGGGGGCCTCGGGCGTACAATAGAGTTGAAATTGTTCAAAAAAAAAAAAAACTGGGAGGGTTAGATTGACAAGTTATTTATACTACGGGCCTGAATTTATAGAAAAATGATATACAAATTTACTTTTTATACCTATTTTTTAAATTAAATAATGTGTGAGTAATATAATTGGTTAATGATTAGAGAAAATATAAAAGAGACTCTTATGTAGGAATTGTGATCCTCTCCATTGCATATTTGTAATGGAACGGTTTCATTACATAATTCAATAGTGAATGTAATGATCTTTTTTTAGTTTAAAATAATTATAGATTCACATTTTTATTTTCTAGTCATTAGATACATAATAAAAATTCTCTATTATATATATGAAATGAAAAAGATCAAAATCTACTACATAGATATTCTAATTAATTGTCACACCATTAATATATAACAACATTCAAATTTATATTCCGACTCAGCAGGCTCAATACCCAAGGTGACTCTGATCAAAAAAAGGAAATTACCCAAGGTGACCCTCTGTTGGGCAACAGTATGATCATGTTGGGCATCCAACACGACTTGCTACTTCTCGAGAACCAGGTTCCCTTCTTCATCCTTAAGGAATTGTTCATTAAAACCATCAAAACTATCCCAGATCATCCACGGTCATCATGCCCTTCCCTTACCCAGTTTGTCCTATCATTGTTTGGCAATGTGATGGATATCAATGATGATTATTTTCAAAGTACAACCATAAATCTAGAAGAAGATAAGTGTTTTCATATACTCCATCTTATACACAGTTGCTTCCTACCTATCTCTTCTAACCATGTAAATCCAGAAGAAGATAAGTGTTCTCATATACTCCATCTCATACACAGTTGCTTCCGACGTATCTTTCCTAACAATGCTCCAAAACCTTCCCACTTCTCGCATCGCGCATCGGACCTCGATTGTGCTGGAGTCAAGTTTGAGCCCGATACCGGCGTCGACTTCAAAGAAGCTTCCGGACTTCTATGGTGGTGTAGTCGTGCTAAGTTCAAAATCCCACCGTTATCTATTTACGACAGCACAGAGCCCTTATTGAGAAACCTCATTGCTTTCGAGCAGTGTTGTCCTTCCATTGAGCGTCGTCACATCACATCTTATGCCTTTCTTATGGATTCGCTCATTGATTCTGCTGCTGATGTCGAATTGCTCGAAAAGAATAACATTATAAATAATTGTTTGGGTGCCAGTGAAGATGCCTCGGTTCTGTTCAACAATATCTGCAAGGATGTTGTATTAGAAGAGTTCGATTTTGAAAAACCGCGCAATGATGCGGAGAGTCACTGCAGGCGTCTGTGGCCGAGATTTATAACATCGTTGAAACGCGATTACTTCTCTAACCCGTGGTCGGTTATCGCTGTTGTTGCAGCCTTTGTCTTGTTCGCCATTGCAGTGGTGCAGGCAGTCTACGCACTCCTAACCTATTACGGAGTAGAATATGGAACTGTGAGAGAGTTGCATGATATGCATTCAGTGTTATGAAGTATGTTTGATTGTCCACCTTCCTAGCTAGAAGTTGGAGCAAGAAGTTGAAAACATGGGTTCAATAATCGCTGCAAGTCACTATAAGTTTGAATGAAATTGTTGTATTGTATTTAATGTTTTTATATTGTCAAGTTTATCTATATGTATTTCAGAGTCGCAAGTGTGCGAGTAAGAAGAAGAATAAGGGAGTGAGAGTCTGAGAGAGAATAATTTCTTCTCTTGTAAGTTATTATTTGTTTCTGTTTGTTTGAGTCAAATATAAGTGTGTTTTTCAGATTAGAAAATCTTTCTCCATAAGTGGTTTGATATCCCACTCCGATCAACACTCAAGCTTTATTTGCATTTAAGATTGGAAAATGATAAATAAAACTATTTTTTAGATTTATTTTTATGTCTAATGTGTAAATAAGGTGATTGATTAATAATTAGAGAATAGAAGAGGTAGAAAGTTGACTTAGATAATTTAATGAGGAGAATTCCTTCTAGTTCAAAATCTAGATTAAGGAGCTGTTTGGGCCCGTGGAGTCTACTGCGGGTCCCATTTTAATAATTTGAACGGTTTATCTTGTTCGACACTTCGTATATTTCTTCCTCACAAAAAATTAGATCGATTTCTGATGACTATAACATGTTCAATTTATAGTATTTTTCACTAAAAAAATGAACGATAATTGTATTTTTAAAAAATAAGTCATATATTTTTTTGATGACAAAAATAATAAATTAAACAAGTTGCAATTGTCAGATCAATTTAATTTTTTTTTTTGGATGAAATATATGAATTGCCTAACAAAAAAATGTTTGGATTATTGAAATGAGAGCTCAGACAGTTCCCTCCAATTTAGATTTTGGACCGGAGGGAATCCTCCTCCTTTAATAAAGCATTATATATCATTGAGTTTAGAAAATAAGTTCAAGTTTTGGATTTGAATAATAATACTCTCTAAGATTTGAGATTGGAAGTGGAGAGAGAGATTGGAAGTGGAGGGCTTCGGGCTGCTTGGGTGTTTTAGTTTAGTTCTTGTTATTTAGTTTGTTTTAGCAGCTGTGTTGTGGGTCTTGTCTTGTTTCTTTAGTTTGTTTTGGGTGTTTGTGTGGGTTTTTTGTGGGGATTCATGTTGTTAAATTTCTTAGTTAAGTTCTTCTTAACTTATAATTTAAAAAATTGAGAGGTTTAGGGGTTGGTTGTATGGATGCGAGTAGCAGTAGTAGGGGTATTTTTATACTTTCGAATCTCTCTCGATGCATCTCATCTTCCTGTACTTTTAATTTCATGCTATTTAATGAAATTTTTCTTTGCTGATCAAAAAAAAAAAAAAAAGTGGAGAGAGAGAGAGAGAGAAAGAGAAAAAATGCCAGATGTGAATAACAATCCAGGACAAAAGATCAAAAATTTTATGCAAAATGTGGTATGTGATGGAGTGCAACCCAAAACTTCTGATGGCGGGGGTTGTAACTCAAGAATCTTTCATGTTTGTATATTTTCTTTTTTGTTTATTTCACTGACATTAAATTCTTTATTTATTTTTATAAGACTAATCATTGTTTATCTTTGCAATCATTTTGAATTATGTTAGGGATTATAAACAAATTATCAATTTTTTTACTAAATCTTTCACATTAGTGTGGAACTCATACAAATCACATGTGTGTAGGTCTCCCACCCATGTGAGAGGTTTGGTAGAAAATTTGATAATTTATTTGAGATCTATAATATTTTTCTAATTTTTTTTTCTTGTTTTACACTTTGATCATTGTGTTCTGACTTTAAGAAGGTTTTATTATTATTATTTACATGGAAACTCCTAAATTATTGAGAAGTGTTATTTTGATCTTCTAAATTACAAAAAACATAAAAATTAATTCCTTAAATTATTGAGAAGTACCACTTTATCTCTTAAATTATAGAAGTGTAGAAATAGACTTCCTAGACTATTGACATATTTCATTTTGAGCCATAGAGGGTCTAACTTATACACTTTTATAGTTCAGGGGTCTATTTATACGTTTTTATAGTTTAAGAGGTAAAATAATACAATAGTTTAGGTAATCTTCATATAAATAAACTTTTTAAAAAAAATTCTAAAAAAATCAAATTATTTATCCAAGTAACTCAATTTTAAATTATTTAGCAAATTAATTGACTTTTTAAAACAAGTTCTAAATATGATTTATAAAATCACAAGTTCAAAATATGATTAGATATTGACATGACCCACTGTTGTGATACACGTTTATGTAATCATATCTTCAGGATACAATTTTCATGTTGAAATCATATTTTGAACCTACGATTTTAAAAAGTCAATTATTTTGATAAATAATTTGAAAATTAGTTATTTTCATAAATAATTTAATTTTTGAAATATTCCCCAAAAAAAAAAATAAAAATAAAAAATAAAACCTCAACCTTTAAGGGCTGTGAACATATAATTGGTCTTATGTTTTACAATAATAATTAAATAAAAATAAAACCAACCAGAGAAAAAAAAAAAAAAGTGATGGACTCATTTGACATGGTGACAATTTATTTATTATCATTATTATTTTTTTTTGGGGGGGGGGAGGAGGGGAATTGCATCCCAGTGTAATTTCAGAAAAATAATTACACATATATGACAAATTTTATGATTTTAATTTTTAATTTTTATAATCTTATCACTATTTTGTAATTATTTTTTGAATATGTCACTAATTTGATGTGTTCTTTCTTAATAGACATTCTGTATTTTATAATATGTATGAATGGAAATCATGCTGAATTGCTAGTTGAGGGTCAAGTTAGATCGAGTGGCTTCCATCTGTCATTTCTTCGAATTTATGTGGATTGAAAATTATCAATCCTTATCTGTTCGCTTAACGGATGAGGATTGAGCAAGTTGTGCATAATGGTGGGTGTATGCAGATTAATTTGACGATTTGGACTTTTACTATTTTGTAAATATTTTAGATTATTTTTTTACTATTTGAATCCAAATTTTTTTATTCTTTATTTTTTATAATTAAAATAAAGGTCAAACTTTTATACTTCATAAGTAAATAACATTATTATTAAATAAAATATCTTTTTTTAACATACAAAGCATAAAAAACATATCAGCGCCTTTGGTGGCCATTTGATAGAAGTTCGACGATTGTAAAATGTAGCAACGTTTTTAATTTGTTTTTTTTTAAATTTTTTTTGATAACAATTAAAAATATGTAAAATTAATTAATACAAATATTTTGTTTTGAGATTACATAAATTTTGAAATTTGTGTATGAAACTAACTGAAAAGTTTCCAAAGATCAGGGGAGAAAAAGAACCCACCAAAAAACGAAAAGTACAACGCGGTGACTCGGACCTGTGTCGTTCGCCATTTGAAAATGTAAGAACGAAAAAGTGTGAAAAACCACCCAGACTTCCAAGGAAATAAACGAGTTCTTGGTACAAGGAGAGAGAGGGATAGAGAGCAAACCACACTGAAGCAAAAACAATTGACAAGAGGAGAAGCATATAATGGCCAAGGTTGTGGGGCCATTTTTTTTCATAAACGTAGCTTTTTGGGATGGACTACTTTCAACAACTTGTCAAGGGTGTCATCATGTTGGATTCTCTTTTCTGTGGGAACCAAAAAACAATGAAGGGAGTGTACAAAATGTTATTCTCTTTTTTTGGGAACCGGAAAACATTTTAATAATGTGCACAAAATAATATTTTGTGCAGCCATGATAATAAATTGGGCAACTTGTCTAATGAAAAAATAATAAATCTATTTTTCATATTTTATAGGAAACTTCAGTGTGTTCAAATAAATAAAATTAAAAAATGTAAACACAATACAAAATTAAAATCATTTATGAATCGCGACAACTATTTATACACCAAATATACAACAAACAAAAAATATAAAAGTTTCAAATTTGTTTACACATGAAATAAAAACTAGGGGTGGGCAACGGTTTATCCGAACCGCTCAAACCGCCCAACCCGCCCAATCCGCATATAAATGGGCGGTTTCGTAAACATAATGCGGGCGGATGCGGTTTGAAATATGACAAATTTGCGGGTTGCGGGCGGGTCGCGGTTTAAACCCGCAACCCGCAAAAACCGCCCGCACTTTAATTATTATTGTTATTATTATTATTTTTTTATATACCAACTTTGTAACTTTAACAGGAGCCCCATTATGTTCTCTATGACACTAGGATCCTTATTTTTAAGTATTTCTCAACTTTCTTAATGCCGTTGAATTATCAAGTACTAAACTTGATTTCTTATATATTTTCATTGGTGACTCATCCACTTTTTTATAGTAATAAAATTTTCCTTCTGGTGGTCGATGGAGCTTCTAGTTTGATTATTGATTACTGAACTGGCAATTCTAATTGCGTACAACCTTTAATGCATTGATATGCATTTTTTAATGCATCGATATACATTTTTTTATGGCAAAAATGCTAGTGTAGGGTCTCTTTGTTTTAGGTACTTTCATTTAATGCATTGATATTCAATTTTTATTTGTAAACTCATCAGAAAATTATTGTCAAATAATCATAAATATATAAAATGAATCTGATGCCTAAATTCGATGGGAAAAAAAAAACTCAAAAATTAATTTTTAAAGAAAAAAGTGTAAACCGCAAACCGCCCGCAACCGCCCGCACATCCGCAAACCCTATCCGCATAAACCGCAAACCGCACTGCGGGCGGTTGCGGGTTGACTTTTTCCCAAACCGCATAGATGCGGGCGGGTCAAAACCGAACCGCAAACCGCACAAAACCGATCCGCGAACACCCCTAATAAAAACTGATTTTCCAAATGTAAAATAACAAAAGTTGTCCATCACATACGGGGTACGCACAACATTATTGAAAAGTAATTTTTACACAATAATGATTTAGACCACTAAAAAATACATCACTAATAGCACTAATGCATTGAGAATGGCAAAAAAAAAAAATAGAAAAAAAAATAAAACAAGGCATAGAAAGTGAGTGAGACCGACTATCACATTATTAATGCTCCCCGTAGTGCTCTCTTTTTAATGCTCCCAAACATTTTTCATTTTCACACGTCCACGTTCCCATGAACACAACAGTGTTCACGTGGCTGCTGCAGTAATGTGAGGGGTACATCCCAGACAGCAACCTAATGAAAAAGCTGTGGTCTACAATTGTAGGACCTGTCCAATTCTCACAAATAGACACCATTGAGGCAGGTTCAAAAAAATCTTTAGGGTACATTAAAATATTTGGGTACAATTGCAGCACCTGCAAATGTAAAATTTATTTTTAAGTCATGTACATCTTCACAAAAAATTATTATCAAATGTATGTATACTTTTATGTTTGGGTATGTATACAATTTCACTTTTATCCATTAAAAACTATTCACTCTGTGTGTTTTCTATTTTTATATAATTCACTTTTTAAACTGTTTACTTTTTTAGCATTTCTATATTTTTTGGTTTTCCTTGAATTTTTTAAGTCATGTAAACTTTTTTTAATTTTTTTAACACACTTAATATAAATACACTTTAAAAATAGAATATTTGTGCATTTTTTATTAGTGTTCATTTTTATTATTTTTGTGTATTTATTAATTTTTTAAAATGTTTTTTACAAATATCTTAATATTTAGATACATCTAATTAAGACGCATCTAAAAAAGTTAAAAAAATAATGCTTAAAATTTTAAAATTATTCACTAAACAAAAAATTACGAAAAATAAAAAACTTTTCTATAAAATTGAATTCTGAAAATTAAGATCAAATGACTGATGACGTAGCATTTTTTTTTTCATTCTTAAAACAATTTTATCTAATTAGACTTGAAGTTGTTATTTTTTATTCAAATGAAAAACAGGATAGGTAGTATTGTTTTTCAAACCAAAACAGAAACAGAGTGGGAGAAAAGTATTTAAATGAATGGAGGTTGGAGGATCCTGTAATGTGCCTTCTATTCACAACAATGTTAGCCAGCATCTGCATCTCTGATTTGCCTCTGTTGGAGTGTGGTGGATGGTGCAATTGCATCTCTGTAATTGCATCTCAATTACATCTCTGATTTTCCAGTTCAAACCATAACTGTAAACCTAACTCATGCATACACCATAGATATACAACACACATAAAAAATGGGTCATCACAGTTCAATAAGAATTTTGACAGCATCCCTTCAAACCCAGGAATCCAAACACATTTATAAATAAGGTGCCTGCTGCATAAAAAGTAATACAACATCCAACACATCACACACCGATTCCATAATAAAATAATCCTACAGCCACTGTCCAATCTGTTTGTAAGGGAAGGAAAAGAAAATACACGCAGTTACGGGTTGTTGGCAGGGGAAAAAATAAATGTATAACAAACATAGGAGGTAGCAACATCGTAGAAAACAACAGCAGATCCGTAATGGAACATGAACCCTTTCCGGTGACTAAAGCCGTCAGAACCACCCAGTCATTCTGGGGCCGTGAATTGGTGCTGATGGGCCACCCATATTCGCAGACTTCTTCATTCGTAGCCAAGTAATGACTGCAGCGTCCGTCGGAATCTACAACAATATTGCCTGATTTGCCGGATTGTCCATTAACGTCAAATCGTAAGGGATTAATGGGTCTTGCGGGTCCAAGCCTTGTAGGGAGTACAACCTTGCCATACACTTGCGAATGCAGTTCGAGGCCGAATCTCCATACTCATGATGCACGCGGACGTCTCGTTGTTGTAATTTAACTAAAGACGCAAGGTTTTCCATGCTACTCGCCAAGAGCGATGCTCCCTCACTCTGCCATTTTTTCCGCTGTGGGGGTCTTGTGCGACTTAATTTGCGTTTGCTCCCGCCACTCGTAGGTGTGTCATCACCGTGAATTGTCGATGACGCAGCATGTATAGCGACCGGGGTGTCCTCCTCTTGCGCAGGACTGTGGTGGACATTGTGTGCATGCTGCGCGAATGGCTGGAAATGGGGCAAACCACTACTGTCTTCGCAGTCTTCTTCGTCTACCAGCAAAGGATTGTCCTCCGTGGCGACAGGTTCAAACGCTGCCCCTAGTGTCCATGCAAATTTCCCGGTTGCCGTTGCACCTTCGTACACCCTTCGCATTAGGTCCATATGCTCCAACGGTTTCGTTTTGAACTTTAGTGCATTCTTGTCAATCTGGGTAAAACCAAAACACGTAAACATAACTTAAAACAAGGAAAGTTGAGAAACACAACAGCAGCCATGATGCAGGTTTATGTTATAGGTTTAGTTATAAGTTGTTACCAGATTGCATGCATTCTTGTAGTGCCGTGACCTGATTGCATTGCCACATTATGTTCATGGTTTTCGTATACTGTCCCTCTTACAACAAAAAAGGTCTATGGTGACGAAAACGCATGACGAAAAAATATTTCGTCTCCAAATATACATGTTTTAGTGATGAAAATAAGATTTCGTCTCCAATTGTACTATTTTTAGAGACGGAAACCAAATTTCGTCACCAAATGCTTAAAATCAAATAAAACAATGGTGACAAAAAATTTATTCGTCTCTAAATTTTATTTTTCGTCACAAAACAGTTTCTCACCTTGGGAAAATTTGACGGAAGATTTGGCGCCATTTTGGAGACGAAATTTTTCGTCATCATTGTAAAAAAAATTTAAAGGGGAAATAATTTCATCTCCAAATGTATTATTTTTAGAGAGGAAAACCAAATTTCGTCACCAAATGCTTAAAATCAATAAAAAATAAAATTGAACCAAGAGATAGATATCTCTCTGTTTAGATACATGTATTTTACCTTCTATATCTCTCTTTGTCACCCCTTTACCCATTCATCTCCATCACACCGTCCGTCCATCTTTGTCGCATCGGCTAACCCGTACGTCGCCGGCCGGTGCTCGCTACAACAGGTATCTCTCTCTCTCTCTCTCTCTCTCTCTCTCTCTCCCCCTTCCTATTATCACTACAACAAAACTGGATTTTCACGGCACCACATCAACGACATACAATAAATGCACGACGTGATTTCTCACTTTTACGGCTTTCTTTTTTTGCACATCGTAAATAATTTCTCAACCACAACGTGTCTATTGTGTAGGTCGTGAATGCTAATAATGATGATTTTTTTACAGCTTGCAATGTTAGTCGAAAATAATAAGACTTTCTATGGCGTGCATATGACATGCCGTTAATACATCAACTCTACATGACACATGTACACCGACTATTAAAAATATTGAACATTTTTTGGCGCACAAAAAATTAACCGTTAAAAAATACACTTTTTACGACGCACATATATTAGTCATTAAAAATATTTTACTTTTTATGACACGCAATTCCTATCATGAATAGTATGACTGAAATAAAAATCGGCGCCAAAATAAAATACTCTAGCCCCAAACCCCCAAACCCAAAAATATATTAGACAAAAATAAATATATCGAACTTCTTCTAATCGTAAAGGAACGTATAAACTCAGAAGACGGGGGAGAAGAGAGAGGGTTCGAAGAAGATACTTGGGCAAAACCAAGAAGAGAGGGTTAACCCAGAAGGCTTTGGCTTTGGCTTCTAATCAAAGTGAACCCAGAAGGTTTCATCAAAAGAGAGAAGTTTGGAGGGAGCTCAATCTCATCTCTCTGAATCGTCTCATCGAAGAAGGGTTACCTGGTACATTGCTTCCTCATCTCCTTCCTCTTATCTTTGTTGATTTCTATTAAAGTGATTACTCATTGTTTGTTTGGTTTTGATTTCGATTTTTATTTCAATTTTGATCGTCTCATCGATTTCGATTTCAACTCTTTATTGCAGATTCTCTTTCTTTTTATGGTAAACTGCTGCTTCTTCTCTTTCACCCTCTCTCTCTCTCTCTCTCTCTCTCATCGATTTTGATTTCAACTCTCTATTACAGATTCTCTTTCTTTTTATGGTAAACTATTGCTTCTTCTCTTTCACTCTTTTACTCTCTCTCTCTCTCTCTCTCTCTCTCTCTCTCTCTACGAAGCTAGGGTTTCAAAACCACCACTGTCAAGAGGTGTTGATTGAACGGACGCAGATTTTTATGTTTCTTGTGAAACTCAGTTCATATTTTTCTATCACCATTTGTTCTATTTCATGTATATGTCTAGTGATTTGGGGAAAAAATGGTTTTGAGAAGTTAAGTTTTAAATTGAAAATTTAGGGTTTTTATTTGGGGGTTTTGATCCAAAAATTAAGATTTTGTTGCCATTGCCAATTTTTCAGGTAATTTTATTTTTATTTCTAATGGCTCCTATTTTACTTTGACCATTTGTTTTGTTCAAGATTTGTGCTAGGTTGTTGCTGGAAAGAAAATTTGTATCAGGTGATTCTCTTCCTTGTCTCTCTGTGATGCTTACACATTAACATATACCCAAAATTGTGACTCCATAACAAGATGATTTGTGTTTTGTATGATGATTTCTTGTCTTTGTTTCTCGTTGTTGTCTTTGGCTGATTATGTTTGTGTATCTGTGTTTGCTTAGATATCTTTATATATCTATCTTTATTTTGTTTCTACTGTCCAGCAGAGAAGAAAACTATATACATGTTATTTATGCCTCCTAGGTGCTTGATAAAATGCTACTAAGAGTGATTGGCTCTTACTATACTTTTATATTGTTTTCTTGTGAGTTTTTGTTTTAAATATATATATCTATATATATAGTAAATGGCTATATTTGAAACTTGTCATGTTATATATGAGAAATCACCAAGGAGATGAAAAGTTTGGTGAAATAAAAATGTTATATATAACAGCCCTTACAGAAAAAATGCTGGATTTTTTTTTAAAGAATTTTTTTTTGGGTTATTTAAAAATAAAATAAAAATTAAAAAATAAATTCTAGAATGTATGCTAAAAGGACAATAACATTGGCCACAAGCCCAAAACTCCATCGGGCAATCAAACTAACGGTTAAAAGGGGTCTAAGAACTTGGGACGATACAGTTTGATTGTAGAGAGAATGCTCTGCCATGTCTTAGCTGCTATTGATTGTTTCTTGGTGTAAATCACAATTATTGTTGCATTTTGGAGTGTATGATTTTTCCCTTTTCTATCTTTGTAATTAAAAATTATATAAATATTTTACCATGTATAGTTCTCAGTTTGGATTGAATGATCTTTTACATACATACATAGTCCATTTAAATTAGTGTTTGGTTCATTGGAATGAAATGTTTAATACATCAAAATATGCATTATTTTATGTTTGGGTGACTAAAAGAATAACAAAAAATACATTGCAAATGATCATTCCATAGGGAAATTTAAGAAATGAGTATTTCATTCTACTCCATGTGATTGTTGAGAACTAAATAGAATATCAGTTTTTTCTATGCTTTGGTGATGAATTTACTAATTACAATCACTTCTAGACATTGGCATATGTTATCTAAATATAATATGTAATTTGTGGTTTGACTTTCATATCCTTTGCTTGTGTTTTTGTTTTTTGGTTTTGAATTCCTTTCTTAGCACAATGTATTTTTCAAGCACATGGTTGGATATATTATTGAATATCGGTTTTTTTTCTAGGCTTTAGTGATGGATTTACTAATTACAATCACTCCTGGACATTGGCATATTTTATCTAAATATAATATGTAATTCTTATTCTTGTGCTTTGACTTTCATATCCTTTGCTTGTGTTCTTGGTTTTTGGTTTTGAATCCCTTTCTTAGCACAATGTTTTTTTCAAGCACACGGTGGGATATATTATTGAAAAATGCAATTCCTTTTACTAGGTTGTTAAATTTTTATATTTTAGCTTTCATGTTGGTAAGTTAACTTATCTTAGAGCTTGTGATTTGAAGGTAGCCCTTTTAGTTAAACTGGGTTTCTATGATCAATTTTCCATCACACATCCTACTTTTTTTTGGCACGTCCTTTAATAGGTTTTAGTTTTTTTTTTTGTTTTTTTGCTGATGATTTCATTGTCTAGATGATTTAAGATTATTCTAAATAACAAATATAAGTGGTAAATGAATATAGAAAGACTGATCTATTTATTTATTTGTCTTTTCTTACAATTCTTGTATGCATTACCCTGCCTCTACAAGCATATAATTGATGAAGGCTGATGCTTTTACTTCTATTATTTTGAAATTTTATGCCATATTGGTCGCAATCAATCTTGTGTGTTAATTAAGTGGCCACTTTCTTCTTTGTTTTGTGGTATACCCTTATTCCTACTTCGAAAAATTTAAACAGTATGGAAAATAGTAAAAGTGAAGTTGTTGCCTCTATATTGGCATATAAACTACAGACAATTTTCCTAGCAAGGAAATAGCTGAAAATCACTTTTCCCTGCCCTACTTCATTTTCATTATTGTGTTTTGATTTTGTAATTTTCTTTTTCTTCCTTTTTGTTGATTTTGTTAAGGTTGGCAACCTGGAATCCAAGAAAGGGTAGCTGATTGGGATGAAAATTTGGACAAGTTTGAAGATTAAGGTATTTTAAACAGTTTTCGTATAAGATTAAGTGGACATTTACCTTGAGTATCTTTTTCGCAAGAAGTGATTGATGCTGGATCTTTGAGTGTTTTGTGGATTGAAAATTTTGTGGTGTAGGGAATTTGAACCAAGATTGTGCAAGTTGTAGTTGTATTATTGTAATTCTGATGACCTCTTGCTACTTCCAAGTTTCACATTTGTCAAAGAGCTCACTCTTAATGTGGAAAATGTTGTAGCCCCTCCCAAACCAAAATCCTCTTCAGTTGTTAGTAAAGCACCATGCACAAAAGAGGGTGTACATGTTTTATATTCTTTAACTTCTCTTATGGTTGAAAGTTATGAATACCATGATTGCCTATTGTAATATTTCTTCACTTTTACATATGCATCGTGCACTTTGATCATTAATGCAAGTAGTTTGTATGAATATTATTTGCACGTAGATTGGGAAGCATAAGTTATTGCTCTTTAATAGTGTTGTGGTGGTTTCTGATGCTAAGTATCTATATTATCTTTCCTAATTTCTCCATTGGGTGCAGAAAGTCACAATCAAGAAGATGGATATACAAGTTTCAAAGGAATTTCTTGCTAAACTGAAGGTATAGTCACATGTTCATTATCTGAACCTGGTAGCCCTCTTATCCACCTTATTAGTAAATATATGTACATGTCATTCTATTGTATTTGATATGGACTTTGCTGACATTTAGAACCTAGAGTAATTTGAATTCATTCCATTTTTCGAAATCCTTTTTATTTTTAATCCTCTAGAATTTAACATCATATTACGGTAATTTGATAACCAATATATTTACATTGTGCCATTTAGCAACAGTTAGAGTCCTTTGGCTTCAAATAGAGTTGGACTTGCTTTGTTTTTTCTTTGTTGGCTGTTTGTACCTAACTAAATGGCCTGTAGATAAATCTCTGGTTATGTTATGAAACTTATAAAAGAAAATTTGAAATGAAAGTGGACTTGTTCTATGTTGTGTTCAAATTTCAGAACCTAAAGAGATCCTAAATGGTTTACAAATCCATTCTTTTGGCCTGTGTTTCTAACTTGTAAAACTGTAGATATTTAGAAGTTTTCAGGTAACATACTTAAAGATTATCATATGTCGAAATGTTTAATGCCTATTCACCCTGAAGCTTGAGTTTTGTTGCATCCTTGTTACCAATCACTTTTATTGTTTTAGAATTCACTGCATGCAGATTTTCTTGTGAATGGTTATCTTAACCTTTTGTTGTTGTTGTTGTTGTTTTTTTTTTTCCTTTTTTAGACGGTAGATTGGAGATGAACGAATTTGGTAACCTGCATAGTAAGAGTTTTTTGTTGATATTACCAGACACATCCATCACAGTGGAGTTGTACTTTTTGTTGATATTACCAAACATGTATTTTGACTATGTTATTGTGGGTTATGATTATATTGTGATGGATCTTATCTTTTTGTTGATATTTTATTGAATAGATTAAAATGAATAGGTTTTTGTTGATGTTACCAAATGAACAGGTTTTTGTTGATGTTACCAAATGAACAGGTTTTTGTAATAATTTGTAATGGATATTATATTCAGTAGGTTATTAAAATGCACAAGTTATTTTGATTGTGTTGTAGTTTTTGATTTTACTAGAATAGATGTTATAGTTTGGATGTTATATATTAATTTCTTGATACTATGAGACATGTATTTTGCTTGGGTTGTTTTATGATAATGAGCAGTTTAATTTTATATTGATTTGTATTAGATATTTTATTTAATTTTATTCAATTTTAGTGACGAAATGGATGTTATAGATGACAAAATATTTAATATTTAGTGACGAAATATTTCGTCAGCAAATACCAATAATAGGTGACAAAATAAATTTTCGTCACCAGGTACTTTTAGTGACGACGAATTGATGACGAACGTGGTGACGAAATTATTTCGTCATAGATCAATTTGGTGACGAAAATTTCACTATTGGAGACGAAGTGATTTTGTCATTAAAGTACCATTTTGTTGTAGTAATCTCTTTAACATTTATAAGTTGTTCCTCTAATCTCTTTAACATTTATAAGTTGTTACCACATTCTACCAAACTTGAAGCAATATTTGCACAACCAAGATAGTACTACTAATGCATTCTAACTCTAATAAGAAACAGCAGGAGCTAAACAAACAACATATATCCATAAAATATGAACAGAACTTGCATTACCTATAATTCCTTCAGAAAAGCAAATGAAGTTGATTGAGACCACAAAATCCATGGCAATAAGAAAGTGCAGTTTTAGCAGAACATAAAAACTTTTCTGAGGGAAAAATAGGATTACCACAATGAGTACTGATGCCACTAATAGAGCTATGCACTTTACATCTTGAAGAAATACAGCTGCCAATAAACCTCAACCAAACCCAACACCCAGTCTCCACCATAGCATCATTTTTCTTCTTCCTACTCTTTGATTTGCCCACATCCCAAGACTCTCCCTTTCCTAATCCCATATTTCACAAACCCTATAAGCAAACCCAGAAATTATCATCGGTCTCCAAATTCCCCCCCTCCTCCGTCTTTCCCCTCCACAACCCAACTCACAGAAAGACCAAAAACATAATTTCCTGATAAGGCCTTCAATTTCAGAGCTATTTCAAAGCTCATTAGCTCATGCCTAATATATGATAAGAAAATAAAAGTCCGGCTTGTTTTATGACAGTCAGCGGGACAGGTTTTCATATTTTATCAGTCAGCGGGACAGGTTACTTTTATGATAGTCAGAAATTTTTATAACTCTCCCACAATACATAATCAATTTTTATATATAGTAAATTATTTGAGGAAAAATACTTTCTTCAACAAAATGACAATGGTGGAACCCACGTTTTCGTATGCAGGAAAGGAAAATAGTTTTCATTTTCGTATTTCTTTCATTTTCTATCAATTAAACGCAGCCAAGATTTGAATAGAAAAGAAGACATGTACACAATCTTAGAAAGCTAGAGGTGGCACCAATAATGAAAATACAAATTGAAAGTTAAGTTAAGATTGTTTCGCCATGCTTAAGTACCAGTGACTCCATTAGGTAGTGAAGTGAAGTCACTTGATGCAAGGGTCACTGCACTGCTCAGAATAATGTATACCGGTATTCTTGATTCAACTCTGCCCTGTGGAAAAAATATAAGGGAAAATATACAAAAACACCAATCTAATCTGATGAGCCAAGTGAAAATCAAAACGCGAAGACCACATAAGCCAACTAGTGAACACATTTTCCCCTACAAAATGACGGGGTCACCCTAGAAATTTTGTTTTTTTAAATTGAGAAAAAATAAAAAATGTGAAACTATATTGAAAGCATAGAAGCTAAGGGGAATCGTCAGAACTGTCAAGTAGTCATGTTAACATTATATGGGATTGAGGAAAGGTGATAAACTTATAATTGAACAAAGCTTAGTGAGTGAACTATTATTATGTTGTCTGTCTGTCTGTCTCTCTCTCCTTTTTTTTTTTTTTTTTTTTTTTTTTTTTTTTTTTTTTTGTCCTCTCTCCTTTTTTTTTTTTTTTGATAAGTAAGAATTTTGACATTAGGGACTGGCTTCTGATATATACAAAACAAACCAAGTTTGATTGTATAGTAAAGCCTGTTGATTTATTTAGATCAGCTCAATAAGTTAATAGGTACTTCAACATTATTAAAAATAAATAAAAAAAGCTCAATATCATTAGAATCTCTTTGAAGATCAGTTTGAGAGAGACAAAACAAGCTGGATCACATTTCACAAAATAGTCATACATAGGGAGGGAGACAGAGAGACTAAGAGGCAACTTGGCAAGTACAACAACAGTTGTTGGGGTAAAAAATCTAACCAGGTTTACTTCTTGTTTTTGGTCACATAGAAATATTAATGAAGAATTTTTATAAATATATATTGTAACATATGCATGACTATCACGTTGGATGTTACAAAGAATAATATGGAATTGTTACCTTTTCATAATGGGCCCACCAGTCGTCGGATGCTTGTATCAAACCAGTTGCTTCATTGTAACTTATGCCGGTTGGCCCATGCTTGCTGTCCATTAGCCGTGACCACAATTGCCAATCCTTTTTCAGTAACGCGTACTTGTTTTGCAGTTGCTTCACATCATGGACCTTATGTTTACGCTCCTCGAAGGCCTTGGCGACAGTCCTGTATCCGTGCATTGTCATTGTATGGAAGCTGCCCTTGAAACCATTGTCCAACTCTTTGATGGCAAGTTGCAAGAACATGCGCACCGTGTCAGAGTCCCAATTTGCTTTGTGCACATTTGCGGACTACGGTTGAGACTGTTTACCACCACGCTTACGCAAATGTTTTGAAGGTGTCGACTGCGATTGTGAGTGCTCCATTTCGGTACTACAATGCAACAGTAATTGTGAATATGTCAAAAAGGAACATTGTGACAACATGAAAATGGTAAATAACAATATTTATTTAACAAATTGCCATCCATTTCCTTTTACTTAAAACAATTGCCAATGATATATTTGTCTGTTTGTAGTTTAAATTGCCATCCATTTCCTTCTACTTAAAAACTACCTATCGTCCTCTTAATGTCATACCCTCTCATACTGGAGCCAACTCCTCTCATACGCTAACGATGCCAGAAACAAGTAACCATTACTGACTCAAGAAATTTCCTTCAAATGTCAAATTTTCAACCTTAAACCTTCTATTGAATCACCAAATACATAGTGATGATGCCCCAATTTGCCCCAATTGTTTTGAAACACTAATCTCCATTTTGTTTTGTAGATGTGTACAACAAGTAAAAAACAAACAGACCCAAATGGTTGACACATATTCTTCAATTTAAAGACCCAACAAACTCAAGCTTTGTGAAATATCCAAACCGAAAATTGTGAACATTAGAAGCATATCATCACATAAGGAGGAGGGAAAAAAAAAAGGAAGAAAATGTCATTAACAAAAAAAATTTCTCAATGGGTATCTGAGAAAACAAAAGCTTTACAGAACCTGAAATACCCAATACCATGACACACCCAGAAGAAAAAATTTACAAATTTTTTGAAGGGCTGTGTGGGTAATCTTCACCGACCAAAAAGAGAGAGACCCAGAAGGGTAAAACATCGACCCACAAAGACAAAGGAACAATGGGGGTTAGGTTATGGGGCAGCCATTAAAGACAAAGGAAAGTGGAGGAACAGAGGAGAGAGGAGAGAGTGATGAAGAAGGTAAAGAAACAGCCGTATTGGAAAGTGGAAGTGTGAGAGTGGAGAGAGTATTAATTCGGCCGATTTGGGGGGCTCATTTTCGAGCTACATAGCGGTTCTGAATGGGGAAATGTACAAAATTGGGTCAAGAAAAATTGAAGATTTTCTTTGCACCTACCAAATTGCTGAAAATGGGAAAATGTATAGAATTGGTTCACATGCCCAAAATCAGTGGCATGGAAGAGATGTTACCTTGTTCTTTGGGGGATACGGGCCGAAGTAGTGTAGATCTGGTCGGCGGTGGTGCAGATCTGGATGAGGGATGGTCCTTCATGTCGGTTACAGTTTTTAAGTGATTGCGTCGAGGTCTGCGTTTGGCACGGCTGTGGCGGTGGTGCAAGGTGAAGGGTGTGACGGATCTCCGGCAGTGGGCGGTGTGTCTTTAACGGACTAGACTTGTTCAACCGACTGAGGGTTTTTGTCTTGCTTGCCACCATTGTCCAACTCTTTGATGGCAAGTTGCAAGAACATGCGCACCGTGTCAGAGTCCCAATTTGCTTTGTGCACATTTGCGGACTACGGTTGAGACTGTTTACCACCACGCTTACGCAAATGTTTTGAAGGTGTCGACTGCGATTGTGAGTGCTCCATTTCGGTACTACAATGCAACAGTAATTGTGAATATGTCAAAAAGGAACATTGTGACAACATGAAAATGGTAAATAACAATATTTATTTAACAAATTGCCATCCATTTCCTTTTACTTAAAAACTGCCTATCGTCCTCTTAATGTCATACCCTCTCATACTGGAGCCAACTCCTCTCATACGCTAACGATGCCAGAAACAAGTAACCATTACTGACTCAAGAAATTTCCTTCAAATGTCAAATTTTCAACCTTAAACCTTCTATTGAATCACTAAATACATAGTGATGATGCCCCAATTTGCCCCAATTGTTTTGAAACACTAATCTCCATTTTGTTTTGTAGATGTGTACAACAAGCAAAAAACAAACAGACCCAAATGGTTGACACATATTCTTCAATTTAAAGACCCAACAAACTCAAGCTTTGTGAAATATCCAAACCGAAAATTGTGAACATTAGAAGCATATCATCACATAAGGAGGAGGGAAAAAAAAAAAGGAAGAAAATGTCATTAACAAAAAAAATTTCTCAATGGGTATTTGAGAAAACAAAAGCTTTACAGAACCTGAAATACCCAATACCATGACACACCCAGAAGAAAAAATTTACAAATTTTTTGAAGGGCTGTGTGGGTAATCTTCACCGACCAAAAAGGGAGAGACCCAGAAGGGTAAAACATCGACCCACAAAGACAAAGGAATAGTGGGGGTTAGGTTATGGGGCAACCATTAAAGACAAAGGAAAGTAGAGGAACAGAGGAGAGAGGAGAGAGTGATGAAGAAGGTAAAGAAACAACCGTATTGGAAAGTGGAAATGTGAGAGTGGAGAGAGTATTAATTCGGCCGATTCGGGGGGCTCATTTTCGAGCTACATAGCGGTTTTGAATGGGGCAATGTACAGAATTGGTTCAGGAAAAATCATTGATTTTCTTTGCACCTACCAAATCGTCGAAAATGGGGAAATGTATAGATTTGGTTCACATGCCCAAAATCAGTGGCGTGGAAGAGATGTTACCTTGTTCTTTGGGGGATACGGGCCGAAGTAGTGTAGATCTGGTCGGCGGTGGTGCAGATCTGGACGAGGGATGGTCCTTTCTGTCGGTTACAGTTTTCAGGTGATCGCGTCGAGGTCTGCCTTTGGCACGGCTGTGGCGGTGGTGCAAGCTGAAGGGTGTGACGGATCTCCGGCAGTGGGCGGTGTGTCTTTGACGGACTAGACTTGTTCAACTGACTGAGGGTTTTTGTCTTGCTTGCCGTTCTTGCAAATGGAGGTTGGAGAAGGAAAGGGGCTTCCTGATAGCGTATATTTTGTGATATATTCGACTCAGATGCAGCATACAAAAAGGAAGGGCAGAAATGTAATTTTACCCTCTGCAGAGTCAGACAGGGTTTTGCCGCCCAATGCATAGAGATAAGGTAACTTTTTGACTTTTTTGATAACTTTTTTGCTTTTTGTCTTTTTAAGGGGATCCCAAGCCAAGCCTTAGTTTAGCGGTCTTATAATTACGCCTTAATAAGTAATAAGGGAAAGGTTAGAGATTTGAGTTGATAACGCAGCGGCGTAATCTACCTTTACTAATCAATTAATATCCTACAATTTTGACCCCGAAAAAAAAAAAAATTCTAACAATGCAATAAATTATAATCAATGTAAATAAAAATAAAAAAAGAATCTATTAAGAAATCATTTTTCCTAATTAGTACAATTAGTCTATGATAGCATTTTAATAAATCTTATTATTTAAATATTTGATCTACTAAATTTTAATTTTAATATTTAAAATATTTTTTGAACAATTTTATAAGCAGATGAAGAGGTATTTTTAAATAAATGCCCTCAAAAGAAATTCCCAAGTTTTTGCTTTATATATATACAAACAAATGAGCCTTTTAGATATAGACCCAGAAACAAACCCCCTTTCCCATATCATAAAAGCTTTTCTCCAATGACGACGAACAATGAGCCGTCTAGCGTAGAGTCCGCAATTGAAATCCTCTCACGTTCCGTAAGTGAAAAGATCAAAGCAATTCATCAGACAAACTATTCGGAGGATTCATCGCTTTCTCATCCGCTATCGTTCCCTTGTATTTACAAGGTCTCCAAAGAGCTTCGTAAACTAAACAAAAGGGCCTATAACCCTTGGGTAGTCTCTATCGGCCCAATTCACAACAACAATGACGATGACAAAGAGGAACAACATCTGAAAGAAATGGAGCACATCAAAGTGGCTTACACGGAAGAGCTACTTTGTCGAATTGCCGGGAAATCGGCTTCTCCGGAGGTTAAAGGATATTGGATGGACAAAGCACTGATGGAATGTTCAGCCGCCATGCTTCACTTAGCAGCCAGTGCCTTCAACTGCTATGCCGATAACCTGAAACCCATCATCGAGAAGAAGATTCCTCAGCATAGGCTAGCCGAGATGTTGCTGATCGACGGTTGCTTCATACTCGAGCTTCTCTACAGGTCCTCTCTTAAAAATTGTTAAAAATTAAAGAAAATAGCTTAAAAATCAATGTTTGGTTTGAGTTTTGTAGATTAAATTTTTTAAAAATTGAGTTTTTTAATTTTTATATTCTTTTGTTTTTAGTGAATATTTTTTAAATTTTAAATATTTTTTTTACTTTTTTAGATGCACCTTAGTTAGATATATCTAAAAAATAAAAAATTTGTGAAAAAATATTTTAAAAAATTAATAAATATATAAAAAACTACAAGAAAAATGAGATTTAATGGCGTTTTTTTAACGGCGTTTTTTTAAACGCCACTTTTTTTAATTTTTAACCACGTTTTATAACTGCCACATATTTTTTAATCAAAACGGCACCGTTTTATAATTGAAGGCGTTTAAAACCGCCTCCAAATGCGGTGGGTACACGCGCTTCTTCCGTGCTCATTTTGAAACCCTTATTTTGATTCTGTGCGAGAGAAACTCTGAATGTTACAACTCTCTCTCTCTCAACCCTCTCGAAGCTCGATGAAGCTCCATCTACACCCGCGATTTCGAAGCTTCAGAGCGATTTCGAAGCTCCATCGCCCCACCATCTGCTCTCTCTCTCTCTCGATTTAGATCTACTAAGCTCCATTTTTCCAAATTTCGAGGTAGTAAGCTCCACCGTCTCTCTCTCTCTCTAGATCTATGAAATCAATAGAGAGATCTATGAAATCAATGTTTGAAGGCATTCTTACTTGATCCTTATTTGCAGAGATTCAGTGATTTTCAGAAGCTCAGATCTGAACTCTGACCCCTCGATTACTCGCATTTCAAGCCCCAATGGCCACGAATAGTCTACTTTGGTTCTGAACTTTAATCGGTACTCTCTCTCTCTCTCTCTCTCGCTCGCTCGCTCTATGTCTTTCGAATTTTACTGCATGTATAACATTTGAGTTCTTGGATTTGTGATTCAAAACTCCATCTTCAAATCCCTCTTTTCTGTCATTTCGTATCTGTTTATATATATATATATATATATGTATGTATGTATGTATGTATGGTTTGATTTGTGTTCTCATTCTCAGATTGCATCTTATAAAGAGGGGTTCGGTTTGATCTTGTTCTCTTCCTTGCAATTTCAATCCGGGTCAAGAAAAATTGGCTATGGCAAAAACCTTATTGTTCTGATTGACGGAGCTTGATTTAGATTTAATTTATTACTGTGGATTTGGGTTTTTCATTATTTGATTTAATTTGCTGGCTCTGTCATGCTATTTGTTTATTTTTTTTTATGGTTCCAATGTTTCATATATGCTAGTATTTAATTAATTACTCTTATGGTTACAGTTGCCCGTGAATTGGAATTGGTTGAAACCATCATTGTGGGATGGGATTCTTCATGCTAATGTTTGAACTATATGTATGAGTATGATTACTTATGGTTGCATTGTAGGAACCATGCAAATGGCAGTTGGAGTTACATTTGGTATGTGTTTGAACTTTTTTTTTGTCAATATCGTGTTTGTTCCTAACATTGCCCTCATTAGTTTTTACAGTTAATTACTTATAATTACTTTTGAGTAATTTGTTAATGTGTACTGTTGCTCTTGATTATGTCTAATAATGTTTTTATTATATCCAAACAACTTTCTATTGCTTATTTGTTTGTTTGTGTTTGTGTATACATGTATAGAGAGGATCTAGCTACTTTTTCTAAGTAATCTTATTCTAGCCATCAATTTTTGAGGATAAAATTAGTTTTTCATTTTGCTATTTCTGATGAGAATGTGAACATGTGGAATTCTAGATGCTTTTTTAGCATGTATAAATTTTAAGTAAGTGTAGCATTTTAATATGGGCTTATTGTTTCAGAAGAGGGCATTGCAAGCGGAAGAGGAAATGATGCGAGGAAGGACTAAACTGAGGTTTGTGTCTATAGATGGTGAAATTTATTGTACAAGTTATATTTCATGGACTAATTTTCTGTCTAAATTTCTGCCACTTCTAGACAAGCGGGAAAGCGATGAATTTACATTAGCTTATTTAATTTTGCATGTTAACTTGTTACTGTGATAGGTTTGGGACAGACGTTGCTTTAAGCAGAGGGAAAGCCAACAGGGGGTCTCTGGTGGGGGACACGTAGAAGGATTACATTTCTTGACAGCCGTGGAGATGGTCGTTATTTCATTTCAAACAGTAAAGATCAGACCATCAAACTTTGGGATATCCGGAAAATGTCCGCCAATGCTACTGGGTATGCTACCTTCCAGGCCTATTTGTAATTACTTGTTTATTTTAAATGATAATAATCGTGAAAAGTATGAGTTATTAATACAACTTTCTGAGTCAACTAATTAGTTATGTCTCATTGTGCCAAAATTTTGTTTGACTTTAGTCCAAAATGTTGTACATGTTGAACAGCTTTGAAAGAGCTAATAGGAACCCCTGTAATACATTTTTCCTTCCTCGATTTCAGCAAACTTGGATTTGGGCATTATGAATGGGATTGCTGATGGATGGACTACCCATCTCAGGCAAGAGGTTTAAAGCACCCCAAATGATCAATCATTGGCCACATATAAAGGTCATTCAGTATTGCGCGCTC